ACAAAGCAGACTCAAACATGGGAATTTCCTGTTTAGCACCATTTAGCGTGTGCCATTTGTAGACTAGCATGGCATTTGAGTACTACTTTTTGTATAAATAAACCATCTGTAAAGTGGGGGGGGGGGAGATAACTATGGTTATGAATGCAGATAATCTGAAAGGTGCAAATGTGTTTTTTTTCTCACATGCAAACAATTTAACTGTTTTTTGTTGTTTTTTAAATAAGCAGAGCTATAATTTGAATGAGAGCCTGTCTGTTCCGCGTTTTATATGTGTGGCTGCTTGCCTTGTGGACTGTGCAGAATCACACCAAATTCATAGTGGCATATAGGCAGGCTGTACGCCTCTCTTCTGTGCTTCTGCATTTGACCTGTCCTCTTCGATAGCTGAGTGAATTGTAGTAGCCTTCGGTTAAAATATGTCAATCTGATCTCAGAACTGTTTGGGAGCCGTCTTTTTAAGGGGCTGTCATGTCTTCCCAGTTTTCTTGCTTCTATCTGTCATTAGGAGGAGGTCTGTCCTTTTTCTCTCTTGTGTTTAAGCTGTAGCTTTGTGACAGACACTGAGTAATCAAAGCTGTTTACTCTAGTGAGTGGCGCTATCAGAAAAAGACGAGCAAAGGTGAATCATTTACAGGTATAGTAAATCTGTAAACTGCTTCCCGCTGTCTGTCATTGCAGTACGTGTACCTAAAACAGTCCCTTGACATTCTCAGAAATACGTATCTAGTTTGTCACAAGTACAGCTTGTTATAGAACTGAGTCTTAAATACGGTTCACCTTTTGCTGTGTTTATTGAACATTTTTATACATTGAGAAAGACATGGTCAGTAGTTGTTTTGTAGAAACAACTTAAAATAATTTAATTTCAGCACTACATAATTTTAAATTGACTGGAACACAAAGCGGTGCCCAATGTATCCATTTATTTGTGCTGTCTAACAGGTGTTTGTGTGCATCTAGGCTATTACAGTATATGGCTTGTATATAGTTAGTGTACAGACTGGATAATGTTAATTTGTGCAAATATATTAAAGCATGTAATGTCTGTCAAAGGGAAATAAATGATTTGCCTTCTCTCTGGGTAGCTTTTATGTGTTTAATTCCTGGCAGCACTCCACACTAAATCAGAAGTGTTTAATAAATTGATTTGAATTGGTAACATGGCAAAACTGTCCACCAGGAGGCGATGTTGCGCCATGGGGAAGAGAATCAGCTCCAAGGCTGGGTGGGTAACGGAATCCCCCTTTGCATATGTGTTTCCATGGTGACGCTGATGGCTAGCCAGTGTGGCTTGGTACTGCTTTATGGCTGTGTTTATCCTGTATGTGCAGAGCCCTGTAATACAGTAAATGACAGGAAAGCTATGGTTTTATAACACCTGCAGTTGTGATTTACATAGCAAGAAAAAGACGCCATTTCACATTTAGCTTAAAAAACTGCATGCAAATATCACAGAAAACAACGTGATGAGACATTTTCTGAATTGCAGTGTCTGTAATTCACACTGCATGTAAGTGAACTGGCCACCATGAAGGACTTTGGTCATCACTTCTGTCTATGTTCACCCAACTGCTGTAATGTAATAGTCTGTTGCATTATCAAAACCCATAAAAGCCTGTTTTTTTTGTATCGAAGGCACCTTGAAGAGCGATGCTTCCCTTCTTAGAACACTGAGAGGTTTGCTAATCGGTGTGTTAACCAAATTGTTAAGAAAGGGGGGGTCGAGTTACTATAACGACCAATATCAGGCAGCCTGGATGGATGGATGTTTACTTCCTGCCTCAGGTACTTTGTAGCATCCATTCTGATCACTGGCAGGCCACCAAAGCAGCAAATTCACTGTCATTGATTAGGCATAACTTATAGAAGGTGGAGGACCGCCTTTATCATGTAGAAGAGCAAGATTTTGATTAAATATCTCAGTACATCAAGCACCTTCAGGTACTGCTGCCATTCTGCTGTAGTTTATATTGGTTTATGTCAGACTTGGCTGAGCTGCTCTCACCAATAAGGTGTTTCAACCTAAATCTCACCAGTAACTGCCTCATGTCTAAAGGTTTTGTCAGACAGTTATTTGCATCCTCACTGGACAAGAGCAATGTCCTTTTTTCCCTAAACCACAAGTATGGTGACTTAGCATGACCGATGCTCCTTATTAATATTTTGTGTGTGTGGTGTGTAGGCCATTGCTCTGGATCTGGTTCATGGCAGTGAAAGGAAACGTCAGTGTCAGAGCAAAGCCTTATGGGATTGCCTGTCTGCGCCACATGTTGTGCTGCTAACATCTGAACTGACAGTGAACGAGCGGTAAATTCATGAAGGACGTAGGGGTAGATGAAACACCCTGCTTTGGTTCACAGCTTTCTCATGACCCATGTCAGATTTTGTGATTTTTAATAAACAGTATGGCACACAAAAGCAGCGCATTAAAATCAAACTAGTATTGCTTTAATAGCTAATCTGGTTCATCTGTCCACATTGGTGTCAGTATCCGGTCGTGATGGGAGAGAGACACTGTTACATGCATTTTCTTCTTTTGTTCAGAAATAGAGGTCAGGCCCTTAGAGGATTGGGATTCGCAGCAATACAGCGTCTGGATCTAAATGTTAGGCATCTGCAGCAACCTTTATTGTAAGAGTCATGAGAGAGATGAGACCCTGAACCCCACAGTGGGTGGGATAATTTTGTAGTGTCTGCCGCGTACTGCTTTGACGCAGTTCCTATTAGCTCTAAAAGGCCACATTTGCTACAGTTTTTGCTCAATATTCTATAATAAAACTCAAAATATATCTTTATATATCTAACTGCCTCTGGTGCAGATCAAAGTAAACTTTAAGAATAGTGCCGGTACTCTTAGTCTGATGATTTCTCTAGTGCTCTACTAAGAAAACCCTAATAACTCTCTAATTTAAAAATTAGGAAACATTTAGTTTTTTTCCTAATGTAATTTTTTAGGTCGCACTCGCAATTGAAGATGTCCCATTAAACTTTCTCCATCTTCCGTTGTTTGGGTGGATTTGCTATATTTGAGATGGAAGCTGCTCAGGGAGGGCTAGTTTTTTTCTGTTCCTAGGAACTGGGTGTAGGTGAGAGAATCTGCCCGGACTCCCGTCTGACTCTTCCTCTCTAAGAATAGACCCATGTCATCCCTGCGGGGCAGTGCGATGCTCCGGTTCCACTGAGGCTCGTTGATATCCAGGAGCTGACGCACATGCCGGGAGATGTCCTGCAGGGGGCACGCAAAGAGAAAGACGGCATGTCTAACATCCTACAGATCACATTGGGATGCGTTGATCTCCATTTTCCGCAATACATATACAGTGGTACCTCAGTTCTCGAACTCATTAGAACTCGAATTTCTTAAAAGTCAAACCAACCAGTTCGGAAGAAAATTACCTAGTCGGAGCAAGACACATTGTTTTTTTTTTTTTTTAACTTTACACATTGGATACATTTATTTTCTTACTTTACAAATTACTGTTTTGATAAATGTCCTTAGATGTGTTTAGTACAATGTATGCTCTTCTTGTTTCATCCGGTTCATTTTGTGTTTAAATGCTAAAAAAAAAAAACATATTTAGGTGTAATTTTTTGGGGCCGGGAACCAATTAATTGGCTTTCCATTATTTCTTATGGGGAAAATTCGATCAGAACCCGAACTTTTTAGGATTCGATCCGGAGTTCTGAACGGATTAATTTCGAGTTCTGAGGTACCACTGTACAAACATAAAGCTATTTTAATTTATTCCAAGATCATCTGCAACTTCACAACTTATACAACATATTACTTCTTTCCTCACAACAATTTTATAAGTTTTATCAAAATTAACATGTCTTTTTTTTGCTTACCTTCATATGTTCAAAATCAGTTATGCTCAGTCTAGGAAGATAATGACAGTTGACATAGAGGAGTTTTTTACCATCGATGAAATTCTCAATAAAACACAGCTGTAAGAAAAGAATAAAACACGGTTTATATCAAGATTGACGAATCCTCTGGCTCCATTTAATGCTGTGATTGGTTTCTAACAAACTGTAATAATTCTTAATTTGTCCGGAACAATGCGAATACACTACAAACTACCGACATATTACAAGTACGTGTGGGATAATTCAGTAAAATTAACACTGCAGTTGAACCTTTGAACATTCAGCTAATCAGTTCAGTTTGAGGGCATTTGGTGTCAAAAAAGCTCATTATAAGTCATAAATTCCCCTCCAGAAAGAAATGTCGAGAAACTTACAGGCCAAATCTTCCTGACACTAATTTATTGGCAACACACGCAGAAATGAAGATCGATTTGTCTAGAAATGCACAGGTGTCATGTTTGACGGCTGTACCTTGTACTGCGGGTAACCCAGGGATTCGATCCATGTGGCCACGTCCTCGCAGCTCCAGTGCAGGAAGGCTGCCATCTTGCCTCGTGTACCCGTTTCCACGGGCACTGCTGCCATAGCAACACCCTGAGCCAAGCAATGAACTGCAGTACTAGTTAGACAATTTAAGCATCTGTGTGAATATATTTATATATCTGAAAATATATAATACATCTTTTATTACAAGAGTAAAAATAACCGTTTTCATAAAATCAAAGCGTATCCCTCAATGAAACAAATAGAACATATTAAAAATACAATAAAAAGTAATAGGTAATATACTTTTTCATCACACTGCTGCAATTGTTAAGATAGTCTCAGCTTTACTATTTCCAAATATGCTGAATCGAAGAGTATAAGTGATCTCCGCTGAGTTACATAGGGCTCAGCATCGAGTACATTTTTCTGTACATTTTGGGGAGAATTTCGGAATTTTGAATGGGTAGTCGTGTATGCTTTCGAAATGTAATTAAACTAATAAAGGACCTGAAGACAAGCTATTGGGGATTATGCATCACATTACAGACTACATGTGCAGCGTGTCGCACGCCGTGCTGCCGCAAAGGACATGCTTTTGTAAACAGAGAAAAAATCCGCCCAGTTTCGTTTCATTACGGAAGTGCGCGGCGCTTCGGCTTCGCTACTAACTTATGATGTAGCTGCGCTGTGTCGAGCTCGTCCGAATCCCGTCTTCCTTCCTCTCTTCTGGATCGCGGCTGCTAGTCGTGTTCACTTCGGCCAGATTTACACTGGTAAGCGCGACATCCCCCGGCAAGGGCTGTGTGACCGCAAAGCGCCGCTCCGTTTCCTGTAAACATTCAGGGGAAACCAGACGGAGCAGATGATGTACAGGCTGCGAGTTGCCAGATGTGCGTTTTTTTTTTTTTGCAATCTGGACCTACTGGACTCTCAGACACGCAGTCCACTTATATTAAGCGGCTGATTTACTTAGGCACCGTGTTGTAATGCAAATGTATGATTTAGCATAACTTAGACCGACGTACGGTACTATAGCCGTCGGGGTCCTCAATCCGCATTTCGCCGTTTTCTTTAATCGAAGAGCTGCCAATGCATGCAGATCTTAAACAGAAAGCTGAACAAAAGGCCTGCAGTCCTTCAGCAGCTTTTTTTTTTTTACAATGCCTTTTTACAGTCTACCATTTGCACAAATTTTATTAACCGTGAACAGGTAGTTATAGTAACTTGTATATTTTGGAGGATTTCCGGATGACTAACAGTTGAAACGTATTTACTATAGGTTGAAATATAAATTATGCAAACGATAGACACGAAAGTTAACTGCAGTGCAGATGAATCGGTGCAGTTTCAAGTTCTAAAGGGAAATGAGGGCCATCGTAACGCAGCGTTCATGTAACTCCCTGCTTACGCATGTTTATTCCTGCGGGAGGGTGAATACGGCTGGCCGGCGGCAGCCCCTCACCTTAGCGCCGCGTTTAACAGTGTATCGCCGTGTGAATTTCAGTCCCATGTATGTTACGTTTAGTATAAACCACACTCTACATTTCACCTTCTTCCAGAGATGGAGTCAACCTCTGAACTACAGTCCAGATTGTCTTCCCTGTCCGTGTCATCTTTCCCAGGAATAACATCGAAAAACTGCGAGAACAGCGACCAGGACCGGTAACTACTTAATTATATTCCAACATTTTATCATTATATACCTTCAAACACTGAACGGAACGATTGTTATTGATGGCCATGCGCCCGGAATGGGGTTTGATGTCAGTTTAAGAGATTTAACCTAGAATGTATCATGCTGTTTTTCACGGACTTAGAGTTGTGTTACTACTTGCTTGTGATTCCTCATTTTTGCTAGGTTCTGATCACAAATGAGGGACGTCTCGATGTAATTGCGAGTTGTGTTTTCCAAAACTCAATGCTTTTCCTTACTGCCCGCCAACAGGCTCCGGAGTACAGACCTCTCCCAGCGGCCGCACGTCCCGGTCGGCACCCCGCCTTCTGATCGCGGAAAAGACGTTGCTGCGTCTCCCTCCCCCTCCGAGGTAAGCATGCTCTCTGTTAGGTCGGCGTCGACCGATAATTCTCCCTTTATATAGTGATTGCTCCAAGAGCAATACCAGTTAGTGATGGGATTTATGGCTCTTTGAGGGGATCCGGATCTTGGCGATCCGTTCCTTTCAAAGAGCCGTTCAAGAGAACGGCTCTTTTGGCTCTTTTTAAATATTTAGTCAGTTTTAAGAAGCCAGCTTGGGGGCATCTCAGTTTATCCTGGAAATAATCACTGGGAGGAATGATGAGGTGAGATTTGTAGTCAAATAATTAAAACTCAGATATCACACACCAATATCTGAGTTTGAATTATTCTGAAATATTGATTATTACCTCATTTGTCATGTGTGGACTATATTCCATATGGTTGCACAACATCCCTCTGCTTAGACAGTGACATCACTATTTTGGATTTACCTTTAGTACAAAGTGTGTGTATGTGTAAAGCTACGTTGACTTATGTTATTCATACAATACCTACTCACAAATAAACATCAAAAACAAAGCCGGCTGCAATGAATTTCTGTGCAAAACAGCTTTTACTACAAACACTTCCACACAATGTGGAAGTGAAGGATGCGTGCACAACTATCATCATGCTGTTAGGCAGTAGCACCCCTGCGCTGGGTGCGCCCCTCCCCCTATAACTGTTCTGTCTCGCGGAGGAGCTAATTTGTGTGCATCTGTGTGAAACACGCATAGGAAAAAAAGAACGACAGAAAGAACGGCTCCCCTCCAGCCGCGACTCGGCTCTCATCGTTCATGTTTATGAGCCGTTCAAAAGAATCTGTTCGTTCGCGAACGTCACAACTCTAATACCAGTACAGAGGGCATAGGGAATCACGGACGCTGACCATCCGGGTCTGAATAGTTTAAAATACGGTTAAATACTGAATCCAGTGTGAATAACAGATTTTCTAGGTTAAATCTCGAGACAAGTCTATCCACACATGCACACGCATTTACATGTATGAAAAAGTTTTATTTCCTTGTACAGTCTGTATGGTTTGCAAACTAATATACATTTATTTTTTATCATAGGTATTTTATTGCTCCGATGCTGTAATATGGAGCTTATCTTGTCTGTAAAAGGTTTTAGGAAGTTAAAACACACACGGCAGCATGTTTTTTTATTGGTCCAAGAGACGGGACCGCTGTTCTTTGCATCAATTAAAGGTTGAGGTTTCTGGACTGCTTTTTAGTTTTAAACTATCAACAGAGAGCGGCATACTTTAGGTTCGACCTACCGACCTGTTTTAGCTAATAAGAAATGACCAATCTCCAATAAAAGGGCATAGAGGAGAGAGTCTGATGTTTGGGGGAGGGGGGCAGCTTAATAATTGAAACGCTAAGGTCTATTTTTTTTTGGGGGAGGTGGGGGGGGGGGGGGGATGAAGGCATATTGGGATATTGTGGGTACATGTTCCCCGGTCCCCCCGGGTTCCTATGCAACTGTCCAATAGTCTCTTTGCAGCCATGAATGTAATTTATTTTTCAGTAATGAGAATAAAATGTAATGCACATGGTTATTTAGTAACTTGATTCTTTACTGGGGTATCATAAACAGCAAATTCACCGTCAATTTGCCATTAGTTCACATTTAGATAAGTTTAATCAGAGACCTGGAGCACAAGGAAACTCCAGAATACAGAATATCGTCTAATACAAGGGGCATCTGGCTGGCAGCTCATGCAGAGTGTAGTGTTTTCAGCCAGCTGGCTGATGACGACTTGTTAGTCAGCAATAGGGATGCCTTGTAATCCACTTACAAATATCAGTATTTAGGAGGCAAGCAAAAAATTGCACGTGGCAAAGAAAAATTTTGAAGATGCACCACACGTCAGTTCAGCTGAGCTATTATAATTATGGTGGAGTTTTTTTTTTTAACTGATTTGCAGGAAAAACAAATGAAAATTTTTATAGGCATTTGAAAATGAAATTGTGCTATACAGAGTCAAACCATATGTTGTTTAATGTGTCGATTTCCTATGAATCCAGATTGAGTTTCTTCTATAATACTGTCCAAGCAATCTTATTTTTTTTAAATAATGTTTCCATAATTTTATATACATTACTGAGAAGGGTGCCAACTATATAAATTAGTAAGATCTTTTTTGGTTTAGGAATTAAGGTAGGAGTACCCTGAGTCATAGGTTAAAGAGCCACTTTTTAAATACTTTCTATAAAAACAGTAATGAAAAAGGGAGACAGTCGCTCAGGAAACCTTCTGTTCATTTTTCAGATCCTCAGTTGTGCTCATTACCTCCTCTGGAGTAACTGTATCATCACACACTCCTCTTACTTTCAGATATAGCATTGCATTGGGAAACTGAATTTAAAAAGGAGGTAGTTAATGCCTAAGAGTACCGGGATCTATAGAGGTCGCTGTGAAATTTGGCACAGTAGTGGGAGATTTCTTGAGGATCTTTCTTGAGCTTATTGTTGATGCACAGTAGATCAATAGACAAAGTTAGAGAATTACTTTGTACAAGCCTGTGAAGAATATGAGGAACTTAATTTACGCTCTTCCAGCAATCTGCTTCTGGGCTTGTCTTTATTTTCGCAAATAAGAATAAGGCTTTACATTTTGCATTGTGCCTAAGCCTTCTGGTGTTTATAGAGATTAATGAACAACAGAAACAAAACGTTACTTTACTGAAAACACAGACACACACAAATATAAACGGAAACAAGATAACCAAAAACATGCCTGAACTGACTGTTACCACAACCCCCAAATAATAGTAAGTTTGAAAAAGGACTTTTGTGGTAGATAACTTGGCCTAAGTATGTCAATTTGGTTATTTTATTGTAGGCTAATCTTAAATGTCATTTATATGTATAGATTTATCTTTTTATTATTATGATTATTATTTTTTTGCATAGGAACCTCAGCCTTCTGTCCATCCATTCTGCATGGGAGTTTTACTTACAGAAAAATGTTCTGAGGGCAGAAGTAAAAATGATTGGTTCAAGGTGATAACCAATCAGATTGTAAAGGAGGTGTGTCCTAGCAACAGGAGGAGGCGAGACCAAGATATCTGATTGATATCTCCCCGAACCGATCATTTTTCCTTCTGCCCTCCTTGAGCTCAAAGGTAGATGCATGAAACTTCCCATGTCTCTAATGAGCGTGTGTGTGTGTGTGTGTTTGCAGCATATGCTGGACACAGCTGAGGGCGACCCGGAAGTGCTTCACAGCAATGGTAAAGAGCAGCCCAGTGAGGAAAAACAAGGTGGGCCCCGCTACTGTACACCAACGCCCCACTCTCTGTTTCCGTCCTGCTCTTTTAGACCAGCACACTTGTTTCTTAGGAAGACAGCGTCACCTATTGTTAGTCTCTCAATCTGTCATTATTAACATTGTGGTTCACAGTCCTGGCCCTGCTGGCTGTGATGACAGGCCCCTTTTGAGTCAGAGCTTAATTCATTCTGTCAGATATTTTAATTAGCAGTGGAGGGATTAGATGAACCTTGAAGCTGTCCAGATATTAGCGCCTTTGCAGTGTGCCTTTATCAAGCAGCTTGTGCTCCACAATACAGACAGTTTGGGGTGTTGCAACTCCTGAAGGTGTGTTTGTGTGTGTGTTTGCACTGCGTCTTGGAACAAACCCCATCCTTACTCTCGCCTCCATAGCCCCGATGCCACCGATGAACCCACCTTCCACCTGGACATCCCCGGCGTTGAAGGAGCTGAAGGCGAAGCTGCAGCAAGAGAAGGACTGTGTGGTGACCATCTACCGCGGCGACGTGATGACCGTCAGAGTACCCACGGTGCCAGAGGGCAAGCGCATCTGCTGGGAGTTCGCCACCGACGGCTACGACATTGGCTTCGGCATCTACTTCGACTGGACGCCGGTCACCACCCGTAACATCACCGTGCAGATCAGCGAGTCTAGTGATGATGAGGATGAGGAAGATGAGCTTGAAGGTCAGCGGCCGCCTTCTTCCTCTTCTGTTTGTTCCCTTTCACTTCTGATGCAAATTATCATCAGCCATTGATTTAGGACCATATTTTAACTACCTATATTAATCAGAGGTGTAGTTCAGTCCAGAAAGTAAAAATCCAGGCCAAGATTTTGTTTCAACCAACCACTTGAGTACTTTGTGACTGTGACTTTATAATCAAGACTGGTTGGTTGAAACAAAATCTTGGCCTGGATTTTTACTTTCTGGACTGAACTATCCACCTCTGATATTAATCTTACAGTTTTCCTGGTGGTGAATAATGCAGGAAATTCTAACACTGTATCCATCCACGTAGGTTTACATGTTTTGTCAGCACCACATAAAACATAATCATTGTTTCTAGACCAGTCCAGCAAAACAAATGAGGATGGGATTTCCCAAGTGTAACTGGGAGAATCTAATGGAGCTGAGGAACGTCCTGAGAGCCAGTGCTGGTCTGGTTCCCTGGACTGAATTCTGCTATTCCAGTAAAACCTGATGCTTGTTCACAGATTTCATGTACAATATAAATATAAAATATTTATATTTATATTAATATCAATATGAAATTACAATGATAAATACCATGTTTATTCCTGAACCAGCACCCCTTTGAAAATGGAATTATTTATGCGTCAGTTTGGTACATGATTATATAATTTATAGAGCTGCAGGGACCACTACAATAAGAGAAGGCCGTTTTGCATGCTTGCCAGAATATAATTGTAGCTGACATATTGTATAATCAATCTGATCTGAATACGGGGTCTGTACTGTCAAACAGTATGGCTTGTAAGTCTGGCCCAGTCTGTTCCAGGCAGATGGTCTGCTTTGCATCAGTCTGAAAGGGGTAAGAATTGTCCCGGAAGAGCTGAGAGATTAAGGGGTTAAATAAACATTGCTGTGAAGTCCTTTGTGCATTTAGGGCTAAATATCCAGGCCAGACAGAGAAGCATCTCCTTAGCTGTTCATCTTTTGGTCTGCTGGGCTAAACACAGTCTGGTTTAGTGACCTGTACCATTTAAATACCGTGTTTCTTTGGGGACTTTAACCTCCGCCAGCATATTTCCATTCCCTTAAAATACTTTTGCAATGAGTGAAAAGAATCTGTTAAAGACTAAGTTATGAAAATGGTATTACACTTTCCATTAAAACACTGTCAAATGATTCTAAATATTTGGTTCCCTCCTTTCCTTGTCACGATAGGACGTTACTACAGACACTTCAGTAATAAACCAGGCTTAATCCTCACTGTTGGATGAGGCATTTGACTTGTACGACTGGATTTCAGGATGTTCATTTGAATATATATCAGCTTATGTGAAAACTAAATCATTTTATCAGGCAGTTTTTGCATGTTTAACCTTTTGTGGCCACAGCTCTTCCCCTGCCCTCCAGGCCCCACCCACTCCATAGTTTTCTGTTTTTTTTTTTCCGTCTGGGTCACAGGGCCTGTGAGACCAGGTGACGTAGAAAAGGGGTCCAAATCGGCAGCCAGCTCTACCCTCGGAGAGATCCTACCCGTGTACCGGCAGGACAGCCACCTGGCCGTGCAAGCAGGCAGTCATGAGTACCCTGGTGACGGAACGTACCTCCTGAAGTTTGACAACTCCTACTCATTGTGGAGGAACAAGACTCTGTACTACAGAGTGTACTACAGTGCCTGAGAATCACATCAGTCACCACAGATGAATGTATAGCCCAAGAGACTTCAGAGATATCTATTTTTGATTCTATATATTGTACGCTAGGGTTCATGGATAGGTGCGTTTGATATGTTGTGGAAATCAAATGTTGTGGTTTTGCGTTTCTGGGGGAGAGACTTTGATCAGAAGCATTGTAGTGCATTTTTAAAGAGTCTTTGTGTACGTCCAATGTATTAATTATTGTTTTATATGCTGTCTAATGTGATGATTTCCACTCTATATGGTCTTTATACCAATTCATTCAACATTGCCCAGACAACCGTCTGGCTACGCAAATACTAAAAGAGGTGTGTTTAGGATTTAAAAGTTTTGTTGTTATTTTAGTACAAGTACTGAGTACAATGAGATACTTACTTGTATCTTTCCTATAGACTGGGTAATTCAACACTGTAACAAGAGTAACATAGGACAAACTTAGGTAGGATAACCACTTAGGTGCATTCAAGGAGGTTTATTAGGAAATTTTGAACATGTAAGGCTTTGTGTTTGGGGAACAAAGACGATCAAATAAAATGACTTGTGTACACTGCATTCCCCTTCATTCTGGTTATCCAGATTGTTCTGGAACAGCACACTTTTGTTCACGTTTTTATATTTCTGTTTATTTACACATTTTGTTGGGATATTAGGCCTTGGGGGAACCATTCTGTCCTGTTCAGACAGATTGCAGAAAGTTTGTGCCCTGGCACATAAACCCTGTAATAGTTAATAGTTGAGTATTTTGAACGATGATCACTGTAATTCGATATTTCAGGCATTCAGCGCTATTGTGTTATTACAAAAGTTCAAAATACAGCATTTCAATGGCTTTAACCAGCGTCTTTGACAGGCAAAGGATAGGCGTCTCTCTTCGTAACGGGTAGTTTGGCAGTACGTTCAATATTGACACAGGCCATGCCTTCATTTGGTGTATATAAAGAGCTTGTTTCACTAATAAATGCAGGCTGTGGGAGAAAGAGGTATAATTTGGCCGTCACGAGAAAAGAAAGAAACGGCAAATCACGTACTAATCACTAAAATCATAACTGAGCAGATCCTGCAGTATAACTGCTAATGCAGGCGACGGATTCATGTATCTGCTGCTGGTCTGACGTCACTCTACGCTTGTAATCGTTGCTGTCGTGATGTTAATTTAGAACAGTATGTAGCACCACGATTTATTCGCAAACGTTTTGTAGGATCTGTTTGATTTCAATGCTTTGGTGCCTGTTTACAAAGAAATCTGTATGTTCTGCTGCTACCTATACGGGGGGAACCCGAAGCTTTCTGTGTTAACTGTGCGATGTCTTTTTCCAGTCTTGTACCCATGAGCAGTTTGTTCAATAAACAAAGGCCTTTGGTTTAATTTAAATAATCTGTCGCATGCTTGCTTTTCTCCGGACCGATGACAGGGGTAGTGCATGGGGCGTAGTTATTTCTGCAATTCAAGCCCATGTTCCTTATAAATAATAAACTGCTTTACTCCGGAGTGCGTTCGAGACCTAAACTCGCCATTATCTGTTATCTTCAATGCCCAGTATGGAAAGCGGTGAATTTTAATGATCGGCTTTTACTTGCATACCACTGTCGCCGCGACTTGCTATGGTTCCCCTGAAACTGCTGTTTGCAGCTGACTCGCATCGCACCAGGGAAAAGATAAATCCCAGGCCGGCAGGAAGCGCTAAATGCGGGACGCGCTCCGCACACAGAGCCGAAGGACTGTTTTTATCAGGCCAGGCGGGAGTCACTTTGCTGCCATTGTAATGTCTGCCCAGCAGTGCTCTGGTCATGCACGTATAAAATCCGCAGTAACACTCACTTTTATCATTGTAGTTCACCACTCCGGTCACTCTTGTTATTTTTACTGGAAAAATGAGCAGTAGCAAGTGTAATAAAGTCTCAATATCGTCACACAGGAGAGTGTTTCACACCTCGAGCGGTCACAGTAATTGCACCTGGCTTGCTTGACACCACGGGACATTGGTTCTTCAGAGAGTCCAGGGCAGTCCCATGGCTCTCTATTAAGATACACTTTTTAATCTGATGAAAGGATTGCTGTTCTGATGAAACTACAATCCGAGTTGAATCTTTCTGTTCCACGGGTAATGTCTGTTCCAGTTTAAAAAAAAAACCCTATAACTTTCACCCACTTTACGTTTTTAACGAGGTTAAATCGGGCAATGTGCCTTAAATAGACTGCTAAAATGCAGTGATTTATCATTAGATACATTTTTATTCTATTTTAATTGTGTCAATTCTTGTTCACCTGAACCAATAAAGGCAACGACACGCCCATTGATCGGGACCAGCTGATTGTTTGGCGCGTATCCGGTTTGCTTCAGTCAACAGTTTAAAGTTATAATTTCAAAGCTGTAAGCACGATAGGCCAGTTTTTCTTAAAAAAAAAGAAAAGAAAAGAAAAAGAAAAAAAAAGCTAAGATCATGGGAAAGGTTCAGTTTTTCGCTCTCTGGTCCTTAGGCGAAGCGCCCCGTCAGTTCATCAGGTAGGTTAACAGCTGTCTCAATTAAGTTTGCCTTTTATTTCACTCCATACCGTTTTGTAGCGTTTATTATAGCTATCAAATAAAACCCACGTTGTTTCGTGTTTATTTAGAGATAATCTATGGGTACAGTGGATCTCATAGCCAGTAATATTAAGGGCAGGGTTGCCAACTTTGGTCAGCTGGATTGTAGGTTATTAATGCAATAATAGGCTTATAGATTTGCCGTAAGACTTCTTACGTGACTCAGAAAGCGTGAGTGTCACTTGATCCAGATGCGTGAGTTGGCAACCCTGTTTAAAGGACTGTATTTGAGTTTTACTGGTATTCGTGTAATCGCAGTTTAAAATAAAATAAAAAATGTCTGTCTTGTTCCCCAGCAAGTGCAACCGCCTGTACTATCAGATACAGGTGCCCTTACCTTTGCCCATGCAGCTGGTGGTGTTCAGTCTAGGAGACTGGGCCATTTATTCTAGTGGGACAACCATCTCAGTTGAGGTGTTTGTAAGCCAGGACCTGAAGCCGCAGCTCATCGGGACCCTTTCATCTCAGACAAGGTAATTGAACATTAGCCAATTCATTGTGAGGTGGTGGCACTGGAATTGGACATCATTTTATTTTATATAAAGACGTATATTCTAGTCTTTTCACTTGACGCGGTGCTCCTCAAACCAGTCCTCAGGGATTCCCAGACAGTCCAGGTTTTTGCTCTCTCCCAATTCCCCGAGGACTGATTTAACACCGATTTTAATATGAGAAACCGTTGCACACAGTTGTGTTGTGTGCAACTTAGGCCTGTGCTGTTTGTATTGGCCTGTTACAGCCCCGGCCTATCGTGCCTACCCCCCCCTCCCCCCCCTCCCAACCAACCTTGTTTATTATTCATGGATATCTTTTGAAGGTGCCTCGTCTGGGAGGGAGACTGGAGATTGGATCTGTTGACAAAGGCTATGCAGAGATCAGAGCAAGGCATCTATGGAAAAATTGTTCTCACCGTCAGTGGGGAGGTACAGTACAGTTTACTCATTGAGATCTAATAAACTTGTGCTGATTATCCCCCCTAAACACCCCGGCCAGATTGAGCAGGGTACTCTACCAGACCTTCTGTAATGTGTACATTGTTCATTTACTCTTGACTGACCGTGACTGATATGCACCTGGAACAACCTGCTATTCACTGGCTTCCAGAGTCCTGCGGGTGCCCAGCAACCTGTAGATGTCAATAGTGACAGGCAGGTCTTGCTAATGCAGTGATGCAGAGGCCCAGTGCCACACTGGAGGACTTACCCGCTGTCAATTCACAGCCTTAAGAAGGAATTGCAGGCCCTTTATGTTATGAGAAGGTTAAAAAAAAAAAATCACTGAGGTGTATTACTGATTTGAAGCCTTTGGCCCACAGGTGACACCAAAGATTATCTGCAGCACTCCGCTGTCGTCACAGAAACGCCTCACTCTCACTGAATGGGACACATGTCAACAGGTGAATCTGTTCTGGAAAAGGTTAACAATGAATCATGGCTGTGGGCACAGTGCTGACTGGTCTATAATGCATTGACTAAACTCTGCACTTTTAAAAATTTCTGCAGCTTCATCCTCTTCAGTACAAATACACGGCGCTTGTGCTACTGTTGAATTAATTTTTTTGCTGATACCTGAAGCAGGTTAAAGCACTGGATGGGACAGCCTTTGAGGAGAGTAGAGTCCAGAACATCTGCTATGCAGATCTGAAAAGCAGCAAGGCCAAAGTGGAGGACTCTGGTCAGAAAGCCAAAAAGTCACCTGTATGGCCTACGGTATGAAGTCTCTTTGCATTTCCAAAAAACTAAAAAGCACTTGGAGCTGGTAACGATGCATTCTGTAATGGGGGGTGGGGCTGTCTGGCTGGTTGCCCTTCGACTGCCTCCAGGATAAGACTCCCAGGCGGACCGTGATTGGGACGCGAGGCCAGCTGGTGTTTGAAGCGGAGGAGCTGGGCAGCTTCAGGGACTCTGGACAGGTGTCCAGTCCCCAGAGACGGAGGCTGAGCTCACCACCTTCACGGGGACAGCGTGTCCCTCCGGCAAAGAAGTGCCGGGCAGGTGAGGAGGCCCCGCCTCCCTGTGCCGGGCAGGTGAGGAGGCCCCGCCTCCCTGTGCCGGGCAGGTGAGGAGGCCCCGCCTCCCTGTGCCGGGCAGGTGAGGGAGGTCTGGAAACGGCGGTGGCATAAAGGCTTTTATGCTGTGCACTTTTCTTTGATCCTCTTAAGTTCTTGCAGTGTCTGTGTAGCTTTTTTTAAATGGCTCTTGCTCCAGTACTAATTGACACTTGTCACTGGTCCCTCATCGGAAGCTTGGCTCAGCTGCACTTTATACTTGACTGGCTCCTTGCCGGTTACATGCTTCTGATGTTCTGTCTTCCACTTTGGACAGAAGCATCTACTAAACAGGCCCAAAATGAAAAGCTCCGCACTGATTTCTTAAATCCTATTTAATGAAGTTTTTCACGAACTTGTGTGTGTGTGTGTATATATAGAAAATAAAGACTGAAGGTGACATTAAGTCGGTGATATTTTAAGTCCCATTATCAGGAATATTCCTGTTTTATCACCTGTTACTACAGGGACAACTTTCTTCTGGTATTGTCACTAAAACTGGGATTTAAACCTGTGTGTGAGATGTCTAATGCCACCCCCCCCCCCCCCCCATCTGCTCTGGGGGGGCTCTAACCTTTGTTCTCCCATGGCTCTCGTGTCATGCAGTGCGCCCATCGACACGCTGGTGTCACGCCATGTGCATGAGTGATCCGGAGACTGCTGTTGTGATTGGTGGAGAGGCTATGGACCAAGCACAGTGTAGGGACACACTTTGGAAGCTGGAGATAGGTGAGGATTGTTTTAGTGTTTGATCAGAAAAGGAGGATTTCTGTGATACTGTGTTATGGCTAAGTATGTACTGATCTCGTTAAGTTTTTAAAAAGTGAAATATGACTAAGCATGAGGGAGATGGAAGTAAAGCATTTAAATGGTAGAAGTTTAGTGATACATTTATCACAGCATTGTCAGTAGAAGGCCGACGAGCAGGCTTTGCAGTCAGCCATCCTCGGGGGAGCTGTATTCAGCAGACAAGCCTTACCAGCTGTGTCTTCTCTCGCAGACAGCAACTTTTGGTTTCCGATGGACTCCCCTGGGTCTGGGCACATCCCGTGCTGTTCCCGTGGTCTCTCTGCAACCTTTGACCCAGAATCTAAGGCGGTGTATGTGTATGGTGGTTTGAAGCAGGACGGTCGCCACGGTGACGTCCACGTCCTCGACACCCTGACCTGGAAGTGGAAGCTCGTCGCCGTGAGTGTCGGAGTGACCCGATTTGGCCCTTGTGTAAATCGGCGGCACGTGACTGAAACTTCCCCATCCCCCCCAATATATCCCCCAGGCCAGAGGAGACATCCCAGCCCTGGCGTACCACAGTGCCGTCATCTACAAGAAGGAGCTCTTTGTGTTTGGTGGCATCCGGCCCAGCGGATGCCCCGATGGCAGGGCCTGTAGCAACGCCCTGTACATCTTCAACCCTGAGTTTGAGCTCTGGTACCAGCCCATCGTAGAAGGGGACCGACCTCTGCCTAGATTTGGGTCAGTATCCAATAAAAGGCAGGGTTCCCTAATTCCGGTGCTGAAGGGCCAGAATCCAACACAGTTTACAGATTTCCCTGCTGAAACATCTTGCATCTTAATCGGTAAACTGAGGCTGAATAGGTGTCTTGGACGTTCCTATATGTCCCTTCAGGATCACAACTGGGGACCCCTGTGTTTGGGGTCCCGACCTGTGGCTATAGAATGCTATATATTTTTAAGCCATGGTTTTTATTATATATATATTAAAAAAAAAAAAAAAAAAAAAAAAATAAAACCCCGCTCTGCGGGTGTGGAGTTTGGGGGGGGGGGGCGGGTGTAAAAATTTAAATTTGTCGTGCCAGTTGAAGTTCACCAAGTCACTACCCCGGGACAGTTTTACTCGCCCATGAAATCTTTGTACAACAAACTGGTCTGCAGTCTCAAAGGTTGAGAATCCCTACCTTTGGAGGGTGATTTGGGAATCTTCAAGGTCCTATGCAGATGGTACAGGATGTGAAGCTGGGCCGTAGGGTGTAATGGGAGGCTCACATTTATTGTTCTGAGCAGGCATTCGACAACACTGCTGTCAGACAAAATGGTTATCTTCGGTGGGAGGAAGACCTCTGCCTACCTGAATGACCTTCACATCCTGGACCTTGGTAATGTCTGGTGAAGCAGTCTGCATTCACGTCTGCAGTGTTTTCACATGCATTTCAGTTCAAGTGTGGCCCTAGCAGGTCATTTGTGTGCAATTCGTTTTTGTTTAGCCAAAGGTCTGAAGTGCTCATTTGAGCAGATTGATTGCCCTAGTATTGCCGCCTCTTTCTTTAGTGAGGCTGTTAACTGTATTAATATGGCTGAAAATCCTGACTCTGTCACCCATGTGGACTGGGGTTAATCTCTGCTGCCTTAATACATCTTCTCCTTGCTGGGATCTGAAGGTTTTATGGAATACATAGCCGTGAAGTATGAGGATGTTCCACCACTGCCTCGTGGGTAAGGAGTCTATCAGTGTTCCATGGGGTATCATTGTTAGTGGTACCGTGTCTGACCAGCATGGTGGCACTGGGTTTGCTGTCGTGTTCAGGTTCCACGCAGCTGTCTCACTGGGCCACAACAGGATCCTCATCAGCGGGGGCTGCTGTGCCATGGGGGCCCTGCAGGACCTGCATGTGTTCAGCCTGGGTGAGTGTGTGTCCTTTGGTGGTGACCTCAGGCCCCACGTGAAGAGCAATCTCTTCTCTTTTCAAATGAACTTCACTGTCATGTGACTTGAGAACTTGGTTCATTTTCACCATGCCGTTGAAACCATTTATCAACTTCTCATGATTGTGATCAAGAAATTAAGATCTTGGCTTCTTGGCAGAGGTGGAGAATTCAGGTCCAGAGAGTACAGGGTCTGGATTTGGATCTCCACCTCTGCTTCTTGGTATTTTAAGCAAGTCAATTGCAATGTGTCATTTTTGTATATGTATGTAAATATCTAGTTTTTAAAGAATTGCTTCGGGAAACCTGTTGGATAATTGGCCTAGTGTGGTCTGGAGAATGTGACCTGACATTTCCTGCTCTGCCTCCTCTGGCACAGAGACTGGCTGCTGGAGCGCAGTGTCCTGCCCAGCTCTCCGCTCCCAGCCCCGCGCAGGCCACAGCATGTTCAGCCTGGGTGCCGCCGACTCTGCAGATGAGCGCGACGTCAGCTGCTATACCCTCCTGGTGTTCGGGGGCTCGGATTGTGCCGGAACCTTCTACAACGACACCATCAAGTGTGCTGTGGAGATCCCGGAAGTGAAACTGGGCCCAAGCTCCAAAAGGTGGTGCTGAGGTTAAATGTGGAGTGTCGTCCCCCCCCCCCCGTTAGTGGTGTGTTCTAGCACTTAATTCCTGAGACGGACGGAAGGAAATGTGTGTCCCTACTTTAGGGGGTGAACTTGGTGTCCTCCTGGGCTGTTCCACAGGCTACCATTGTGAACTAATCGAGAGGCAGTAGCAGCCTGCTTCAAAATGGTGGTTTTTGCGGTTTCAGGCTTTCTAAGAAGCACATGACCTGCAACTGGATTTTTAAAAATATTTTATATATTTTTTTTAAACGGATAGGGATTTTTAAAAAATGGTAGCTTGTGAGTTGCATGAAGCACTAAGTGCTGTTTTACTCCATGGTTCAACAATTGGACATTTTATGCTACTTCGATGCACTTGGTGTAAATATAACCAGCCTTTCAAATCCAGCAGCAAGATGGATCAGTGTTTTTTTAAGTGTTCAAGTCTGCTCATGAAGTTTAGTGTGCCTTCATCAATGTACATAGGATCACTAAGTGTCACAGTTCCCCCTGGTGGACACATGAAGCAGTGACATTTTATTTAGCACCGTAATGAGTCTTGGGGATTTTACCACTTCGTACAATAAATTGTTTTAATTCTGTATGCATGTATATTCACTTATTTTCATGTGGTGATGGTGTCACTTGCCATAAATGTTTGGCTCGTTCTGCAGTGTAACGCTGATGTGGAAGTGCAGTGTTAAACCATGTCAATAAATGGTTTTAACTATCAAAGCTGTTTACTTACTGCAATCTTTAATACAAGATGAAAGACCTTAGAGTAAGTGGCGTTTTGCTGGCCTCATGCACGCAGCTCCTCTGGCGTGTCCGGCTGGCAGGAGGGGTGGCTGACCTTGAAAGCCTCCAATGTCAGCAAAGTTTCGTTAAGCCCCTTTATCGTTGGGAACTGACTCATGTCAACCTTGAACCTGAGGGATACAGATGTCAGAGGATAAACTCACTTTGATTTCTTTAAAAACCAACTGTGCTACATAAGGGCAAAGCACCACCTCTGCTTGGAGTATTTTTCTTTTCTGGCAGTGGCTGACTGGTCTTACCTTTCGGCGTTATAGACCTGGGGCACCAGACAAACATCCGCCATCGAGATCTAAAGAGAGGTGAGGAGACCTTCCAGCATTTGATATCTTTGGCCATGGGAAGCCTGTCATATGTTTGCATTCTACTGCCAACAGCCTTTCAAGTCAAATGCCTTTGTCTCATCACTTTGCAATTTTGCAAAGTACAGGTGAGTGGAAATAACAGCAGCAATGATCTAGTTCAAATTGTGTAACTAGGAAGTATACAAAAAAAGGTCAGCTATCCAAACAAGACTGATGGTTTGTCAGTGAATACAAAGCAGAGATTAAGCTTGAATAGCAATGCATTGGACTAACATTTTTGCTGTAGAGCATACAGAATCGGTGTTTGGGAATCCTGTTACCTCATTGCCCACACAGAACTTGCCAGCCGTCTGCTTCAGGATAGGCTCCAGCGCTACGAGGCGCACATAGAGGAAGAAGCCATGAACCAATGACAGTAAGTTCCTGAACAGTAGATGCTACTCCATGCAATAGCACAGTGACGTTTGCATCATTGCATTATTGTTACACAACACCCACCTTCAAACCCACGGATGATGAAATGCTGAGCCCAAGACACTTTCTCATCTCCAATCTTCTGCAGCAGGTACAGATTCTGAGTGGGGGAACATAATTAGGGGGTGAGGTTGTGCGTGCAGCACCCTGGGATATGGAAATCCAGTCAATGGGTGAATCTCAATACCAAGAACGCAAAGACTGTACTTGCTAACTTGCATTCCAAGAACGAATTTGGGAAGCAATGAATCATGGGACCGGTATCATTTGGCGAGGATGCAACCGACGTATCCTTGATATTTGGGGCGGTGCAAGAAAGACATCTGGGAATTTACCATCCTCTGTACTTGTGTTCTTAGTATTACAACTGGTCTTCGGCAAAATGGGTACACGAGAACACAAGTACGGTCAAGTACGCATATTGAGAAATGGCACATATGAGTAATCCAAAGGGGAAGCACCAGCAGAATTAAGTGACAGTGAGCAAGAGGATTACATGGTGACTCGCTTTAAGAACCGTTCCCATTCTGACCTGAAGCTGTGGTTCATTCAAGCCGCCTGATGTAACGGAATCATTCTGACCCTGGTATTTATTACCAGGAACTTGAGATTTGGCCCATAATCTATTAATGGCACGGATCCCCAAACCAGCTCTTCCCAGGATGGTCTACTGGCAGACTTTCATTCTGCTAAAGCAGTCAGTCACGCTTATGTGCCTAATTAAACTAATTTAGCCTTCTCCCACAGTGAGGGCAGGTTTAAAGTGAGATGGGGAAACCTGAATATGTACCAGGCAGGATTAAGTAGCCATATTTGTAGAGGTTTTTTCTTTAGTGGTTAAGGAAGTCTACAAGGTGAATAAGTTTGGCTCTGCTGTGTGTCACCCACCTGCAGGGGCTGTATCCCCGAGACGATGAGGTCACAGATCATGCGGACTTGGGCCCGCTTCTGGGGACTAGCAGGCAGGAGGGGGGGGCTTGGCCGGGTCTCCTCAATGTACTCTATGATGGCCAGCTGGGAAAGAGCAGAGGGCCACTGTTAACAGAAGGGGAGTCCCTGCAACCAGACTGTGTCGAAAGGCTACCAAAAGTAGCCAGTGCCATATTGCTGTAATTATTTATTGGAATAAACATAGGTCTTAGAGAGCAGGAGCTCACCGACTGTGACAAGGTAACGCCATCGATTTTAACAGTAGGCACTTGGCGCATAGGATTCAGTTCTTTGTACTGTTCCGTCAGCTGCAATGTAGAAAAATGCATTTGAGTGGGGGCTGATTTATGCAAATGGTGTTTTAGCTGTTTAGTGAAAGATATGGGTCTCGTATTTGACATGCATTACTTCAACTCGCCTTTACCTGCTGGCCTCCATCTTTGACGAGGTTAACTGGCACCTGGTCATAGTCGATACCTTTAAGTGCAAAAGCTGTAACAAATAACACTTAGATCATCTTTCATTTGTGGACAGTATACATTTCCCTTATCCAAAAAAGTATACAAAAACTGCTATGAAGAGATTTTGAAAATCATGCAGCTGGACGTCACAGAGCAGATCTTTAATTTTGCAACCTACCAGTCCGAACTCTCCAGGAACAAGAACTTCTGAAATACCCGTAAAGAATGGGCTAGAAAACAAGATAAATAAATCGCAATCATTGTGTAAAACCGCAGTGAAATAAATTAAAACATTGAAAATTTGTTGTACTTTTCACCTTCGCTTGAGTTGCCATAGCCTTTGGGTGCAAAGAGTACAATTCAAAAATTATGGACGTGGTAAAAAAGAAACTTTTCCTCCGACGCCTTAGTCCCGGCAACCAATCAGCTTCGCCTCTAAATATCCTCCTCCTTCCCACAAATTAATATGACTAAGCTTTTTGGTGCTCTGCGCTCTGTTTAATCCATTTATGCAATATTAAAACTAACACCTTATTTACGATACAACTAATAAAATGTTTTATTAAATGAACATCCGTAGCTTAAATAGGAAAAAATTACCTTTGTGAGGCAAGACAGTGAGACATGCATTGCACAAGAGGTTACACAGCAAAGTATCTTACGTTACTGTTCGTGTTAAAAAAATGATACTTTATTGAATGCTCCCATTCTGAAATGACAAGCGGGTATAGAAAATTGATGGACAAATGGATTTTGGTAGAATTGCAGAGCCTGAGTCTGCAGAGAACTTTTAACTGATAATTATCACATATACTAATTATATGAATTGTACAACAACTTGTTAGAAAGTTGTTAGTTCTTTTACCTAGAAAATGAAATAAAATTCATTCTTGCTGTACATCTATAAACTCAGGAATGGTTTTCTGTTGGATTAAAGGGAGGATATTACGTACAACTACGTATATGATTTTTTTAACGAATTAGAAAAACGACAGGTGGGTTTAATTAATTTTTAACCAATCACCAGGCAGGTAATAGGAGGGTTCATAGTTTTCTTCGCATTTTATAGGTCAATGGTTTGAGGCTTGAACCAATGGGCTTCACATGTTGGTGGGCGTTTTCATTCAAGGCAACGATTGGGTAGTTTGTTTGGCTTCTCCCCAGTAAAACATACAATATTGAACTGAAGTATTTTATTTTTGTTGGTCAAGTTCTTAGTAGGGGGTTACGGTTTAATTTTTTGTCAAAAATTAAATTGTATTTAACAATATTATGGCAACGACATTAATAAGATCACTGTCGAGGACAAAGGTAAGGCAGCACGGTGCCCGACTGCTGCGTTTAGTGATTGGCAACGCAGACTGGGTCACGCTGCTTGTAGCTCACCGTGTTCACTTAAAATTTTTTTAATTCAGTATACGTCCTTCGTTTGTTATTAACAACTTCGTTGTCAACAAATCCCGTTTAGCAGATGCAGTTATTTGGTGGGCTCATAGCCTTCTATTTGCAGCCACGACCTTTCATTGCTTACGCTAAGGGCTAAACATCGTCGTTACCTGAGCATGGTCTTGAGTATGAATAAAGCACCTCAATGATTTCACCTCATTATGCCTTTTTTTTTGCTTCTTAATGACCACTAACAAATGTGTCGGTGGTAAATAGCCTAATGGTGTGTGCAAAAGTACCTCCATTGAATTGGGCTCACCCCTCACTCCCCTACTGCTCAGTTTACGGTCCTGTACGTATATAACTACACATTCTCTTTTCAAGGAAAAAACTTTAAACGATTAACTGTTTACATAGGGTTTCTTCACCTGAAATGTTCATTCTTGTCAAAGGAACAACTTTGATAACACGAGCATAAATTCATTAAAGCACAATCTCCTGATGTTTTATATCTTTTCAATTTGCAGGTTCCCTTTCAGTTTGGGCGTATGTGTTACTCCTCTGTGGTAAGATCGCTTACGAATATTTTATAGTTGCAATAACTATATTATGGGTTGCAGGTCTAGTTTTTATCTCGTTCATTTACAATGGTAAACATGTGATATGGTTATAGTGTTACTGTTAGAGCTAAAACCTGTAATGAAGGCATTTTAAACTTCCAGCCAACAACGAAGCTTTTCATTGATGGGAAGTTTATTGAATCAAAGACTTCAGAATGGCTTGACATCCACAATCCTGTGAGTATTACAAGCAAATCTGTTTCCATGAAGAATTTTTCATCTGCACTGGTGTTTCATAATGTGTCTGCTACAACCATGTTATTCACGATTACGTGCACCATCACGTGCAGGAGCTTCAACTACGTCTGGTTCATAATTGACCACTGTAAAAAGTGAGGTTTACGTATTAGCAATTAGGGCTGCACAATATCACGTCGTCGTATAACATCGCCATATGTTACATTTACGCGAGTAACATCGCCATATTTCTAAAACAATACAGTTGACATTAATCAAAATAAACTGTAGTTAAATAGATCTCATGTACCAACAGAGTGTGTCAAATGAATTGGTCGTGTTGCCGCGAGTTGTGAACAAGAAATGCCGAGAAATGTGATGTGACTATTGCGCATGCGCGCGATGTATTGCCGATCCATATTAACGTTGGTATATCGGAGAATTTCATATTGCGGGGAACTCGATAATATAAAGGCAAAGGGCTGTTTATAGGGAGGCTAATGAGGCAAAATTTAAATATTGGTATGTAAAATTTCACCTGGTTCCTGCACCCCTTCATATTAACCTGTTTCCATAGGCCTATTGGATACACCTGGATTTGGCTTCTTGCATGTAGCATGCAGCTTTAAAATGATTTAAGCTGCAAATACGAATAAAGGATGATAAACTTTTCAAATGTGTGTATGTTTGTGCTACAAACTAACATCTGAATTGCACTTCACGCTATAAACAGATACATACACAAGCGTAGTGAGTCAGCCATTGTAGTGATGAGTGTGGGCCTCTTGTTTAATTCCATCACCTTCATTTGTCAGACTTTGAATATTAACCTACTTAACAATGCCTGTATTATGAATACAGGGGGAACTTCACTTGTAAAATACTGGCCTAAGGTTCTTGCTGTTATTTCCAGGGTGAATACTTTACTATCTGTATCATGAGGTACCTGGTGAGGAAGGATGCATTACCTGTGTGTGTGTGTGTGTGTGTGTGTGTGTGTGTGTGTGTGTGATTTTTTATGCTAACCCAACCAGGCCACCAATGAAGTCATCGGTCGAGTACCTAAAGCCACCCAGGAAGAAATGCTGGCCGCGGTGGATTCCTGCTCCAGGGCTTTTCATTCGTGGTCTGACACCTCCATCTTGGCCCGCCAGCAGATCTTCCTACGTTATCAGCTGCTCATTAAAGACAACATTGTAAGGCTGATATGTATTCTTCTGAAAACCAGTACCTTAGTATGACCATAGTAAAGCCTGAACATGACAATATTAAAGTCCTGAATGCTTTTTATCGCTCTAACTTCATACCCCCAGGGTTAGAGGTTTGAATCGCACCTCTGTGTGGATTTTTCATGCTCTCCTTGTCATGTGGGTAGCTGACTCTTTAATTACCTAAAAAAATCCTAATGTTTTTTTAAAGCCACTGTGATTGGAGAGCGAGGCATGTGAATTTCTCAAAGGATTCCTCTGCAGGAATAGTGCTCTTAAAAAGCTGGGCAAAGACTTGCTTCAGCGTTCCTGTAATATGAACCCTGAAACTTCTGTCCCTTGTCCCGGCCCGTCCTTATAGAGGGAGCTGGCGAAGCTGATTACGCAGGAGCAGGGAAAGACTCTGGCTGACGCAGAGGGAGATGTGTTCAGAGGGCTGCGTAAGTCGGAATGATTATCACTGTATGCTGTTCCTGGTTATGTTCCTGCTGTGCTGGCTTTCAAAAGGCCAAAAATAATCATTTAGCTGGCATTCGGGTTGTCCAAAGTCAGATGGTCTTTTGTTGATTGTCAGCCTTTTTCTTAGAATGGCGATCAGCTGCCGCTCTCTAATTTCCATTGCTGAGATCTCTTGCTCATCTTCACTGTGCCAGGTGACCCCTGGCTTATGGTTCTTGTTGGAAGTACTCTACTGAATTGACCAAGTCGCCAGAATCGGCCGGGAGAGCCGTGCATTGTTCTGCTTGGATCTGAAGGGGCCATGACATGCAGGGACTGATGCCTTCCTGCTTCTTTCCCATTCAGAGGTTGTGGAGCACACCTGTAGCATCACCTCCCTCATGCTGGGTGAGACACTCCCCTCAATCACCAAGGACATGGATACCTATACCTACCGCCTGCCCCTAGGGGTATGCGCTGGCATCACCCCCTTCAACTTCCCAGCTATGATCCCACTCTGGATGTTCCCCGTGGCCATGGTGTGTGGCAACACTTACTTGCTCAAGCCGTCCGAGAGAGTGCCTGGCTGTGCCATGCTACTGGCCAAGATGCTGCAGGACTCCGGGGCCCCAGATGGGACGCTAAACATCATTCATGGCCAGCATGCAGGTGAGTTTCCTGTTGATGGTTTTGAATCTCATAGGTATCCTTAGTAGGTGTTTCTTTCACGGGAGCCGCTGACCCCTGTGTGCTCTCCCACAATGCACGGCGTCTGTGGTTTTTAGAGTTGACATGTGACATGTTATGTATATCTGTGATCACCGCTGATGTTTACTGTGCTCTAACTTGTCAGGTATATGATTCTTTGTCTAAACCTGGCTAAGTGTCACTGACCTCTCGAGTCAGCTCACCTTTGTGTTCTTTGCTTGGCATTTAAACGAAATGCCTTTGCATCTGCATGGTCTTTTAATTCTGCTTAGATGTTTACAAATGTTCTTCAAATTAATTTTTATTTTGTATCAGAATAGAAGTTGTAACTTTTTTTTTAAAAGTACTGCAATGAAATGAAACCAGTAGACCCTGAATCAGCAGCTGATTTAACCTGTTAGTTCTTGTTATTTTAAACCTGATCATTACTAATAAAATTTACAGGATCAGCATTCTATCACCGGGGGTGGGGGGTGGAGAGAATTCTACCCTTGCTGGCATTTTTTTTTGGATATGGTGGTCCTTGGCTTTGTGTTGCTGATGGAATTCAGCCCTCTGGGAAAATTGTTGAGGAGCCCAGGCCTAATATTTCCTGTTTCTTTACAGCTGTAAACTTCATCTGTGACCATCCTGCCATCAGAGCCATAAGTTTTGTGGGGTCAAACCGGGCTGGCGAATACATCTATGAGAGGGGTTCCATAAACGGCAAGAGGGTGCAGTCCAACATGGTAGGTGTCAGACAGTTGGCCTGTTCCTTTCACTGAAATTGGAGTAAGTGCATGTCCCAGAATGGCCAAAAGGTGGCAGTGTCATTTCACTGATGGTAAAGGGGGTGCCCTGCGCCGGGATTAGATCTGTCCTCTGCGCTCGTGCTTTGGGGATGACCTCATATCTAAGCAAGGAGACAGACGGATTTTTATTTGGGGTTCTGTGTTGGCTAAGCAAATTATTTTTCTGTGTCTTAAGCATGCATAAAAAGAGGCTCTTTCCTCGTACCACTGTGAAAATTCAGCCACTTCAAAACGATGAATGGTTAAAACTTTATTTCAGACTCAAATTAAGAAGCAAATTGAACTGACAGGCTTGCCTGTAACTGCGGCCTTTCCACTGAAATGTCCTAAGTGTAGCAGATGGAAACGAGGGCTTTAAATGTTCATTTTCATTATGCATCATGCAGCATAAACAAAGGTAGCTGGGCAGTTGTTGTTTTACCCAAACACAGAGAAGTGTGTTCATTTTTAATGAGCCATTCAAAATTCTGGTATGGTAAACGCTAATCTATAATTATGTTTTCTGCTTACTAATTATGAACCTGTTTCAGTCCATGTTTAATTGTGTATTTTTCCAGTCTGAACCAAAAAAAAATTGCTGACAAGAATGAGCCTTTGTGATTTGTATTGGAGTTTTGATTATTGGGTGGGTCACAAAGACTTTGCTCTTCTTAAGTCCTTCCAAAAGTGCCTGCTCCGTGACCATGTTTCAAAAGTTTTAATTTGAGGTTTTAATCTGGAGAATGATTTGTCATAGTCAGGTTCCTAACTTCCTAAGCTTTGCACAAACCTTGAAACTTCATAATAGTGACATACTACGATTAGTCATGTTGTGGTTTTTAACGGTTTTAACTTTTAGCCCAGATAAATTGTAGTACAATTAAATAGGTGTAATTTTTTCCAACTGTTCATTCTGTTCCTGCCGTGGTATCTTTTGGATGTCGTTACCCCTCTGGGCCGGTAAAGTGCTCAGCGGCTATTTAGCAGCATATAGAATATTTTCCCGGCCCTTAGGGAGCAGGCCTGACCTCCCCTGACGTAAACGAGCTTGGGCTGAGTGTGTAATCGCCGTGCCGATCCCACCGCGGTCACGCGGGTCGCCGCTCTCCACTGTTTCGCTTGGATCCTTTTCCAAAGCAACAGCTTCAACAACAGACTGGGAGAGCCAGAGGCCGGTGTCCTCAGGGCTGCTTTGCATGTTTCCAGGGGGCGAAGAACCACGGCGTGGTGATGCCGGACGCCAACAAGGAGAACACGCTGAACCAGCTGGTGGGCGCGGCCTTTGGCGCAGCGGGCCAACGCTGCATGGCTCTCTCCACCGCCATCCTGGTGGGCGAGGCCCAGAGCTGGCTGCCCGACCTGGTACAGCGTGCCAAGGCTCTGCGTGTCAATGCAGGTACCCCGCCGCCTCCGCCACCACCCTCACCTGCTTTATCCATCCGCGGAGGGCCACCCACACTGGCGGGCCCTGGAGGGCTGTCAGAAAACCTGTTGTCAAGTAGAGCTTCTCCAAAACAGTGGCTACTTCCCAAGAGTAGTGACCCAGACAGTGAACCACAGGACAGGAACCCCCAATAGGAGTCAAAATTCAGTGGGTACAATGCAAAGCTGTCCAGCAGTAGTTTTTCAGTGGGCCCTGGAATTGGAGTAGGTGAGATGCTTCACCACAAACTGGTTTTGGAACCTCTGGCAGGTGACCAGCCTGGGGCAGATGTGGGGCCCCTCATCTCACCGGAGGCCAGGACACGGGTGGAGAGCCTGATCCAGAGTGGGGTGGACGAGGGCGCCTCACTGCTCCTGGATGGCCGGAAAGTGCAGGTCAAGGGCTATGAGAAGGGCAACTTTGTTGGACCTACCATCCTCGGCAATGTCACGGTGAGCATGTTTTTGCCAAGCAACCATCCCATCTTTGGTCAGTGTGGATTGTAAATCTGTGATGTATAGATGGTGTCATGATTTGCTGCCTGTGTATTTATATCCACTGAAGCTATTTGCTCGTATTCATGTGACCTTCAGCCTCAGATGAAATGCTACACGGAGGAGATCTTTGGGCCAGTCCTGGTCGTCCTGCAGGCCGACAGCCTGGACGAGGCCATAGACCTGGTCAATAAGAACCCCTACGGCAACGGCACAGCCATCTTCACCACCAATGGAGCCACGGCTCGCAAGTACACACACGAGGTGGACGTCGGTCAGGTAAGGCTGGGGCCACTTTGTGCGGCGTTTCCCAGCCTTCCACCGCTGGAGACCCCGGCTCTGAAACGTACAGGAAAAGCTAATATTATGACCCTTTTTTCCCCTCATTTCAAATATTGCCTTGTTTGCTTAGATTCTAAAAACTGGCCCCTGAAAACATACCAGCCAAAAATAGTCGAGGCAAATATCTGCTCTCAAAGGTTAAAAACAAAAAATACCCACATTTTCCATGTGCTTAATGCAGAGGTAGATCTTAAATGTAAGTCCTCCCGGAATCTCTCTACATTCCCTGAAAGCGCAGTGAGCCTCTGGATTCACTGTTTGCAAAGTGTGATGCCCCATGTTTGCAGTTCACATGTCAGCCACCACAGCCCCCCCCTTCCCCCGAGGTTAGGGGCCTCTTCAGGTGGGAATGCTCCGATTCCGGATGCGTGGCGACCCTGCCACGCAGCAGCTATGTACGGGGGGCTCGTGTGAGCGGTGATCTCCCTGTTCTCGCAGGTCGGAGTGAACGTTCCCATCCCCGTTCCGCTGCCCATGTTCTCCTTCACTGGATCCCGGGCCTCATTCAGGGGCGACACAAACTTCTACGGCAAACAGGTAAGTATCCCTGTCAAGCTGGGGAAGCCCATGTCGGGGGGGCCGTGATTCCTCTAATCAGTCGGGATGAATGAATTCTCTGGAATGCCAGTTCATTGTACTTTGGAGGAGGCTTGGATGCTTTGGGTGGGCATGGAAGCCCGTGTAGGTCTGTGAGGATCATCAGCCGGTTTGCCTTGTATCAGGTGAAGCTGGTCTGTGTGCTTCAAGCTTGTGTTCAAGGTGCCAGTGTAGCCCATTGCTGAGACTGTGTCTCTCCTCTACAGGGATTCCAGTTTTACACCCAGATCAAGACTGTAACCTCACAATGGAAGGCAGAAGATGCCACTTTGAAATCGCCTGCCGTCACCATGCCAACCATGGGACGTTAATGTGACTTCCCTGTCCAACGGTTAGGAAAAGTATATCTGAAGTTTTCCTTGCTGCTCTGGATGCTGAGACCACTTGACTACAGTATACAAGCCTTAATGTGTAGATGGATAGCAGTCCTGTTTTTTAAAATCATTTTATGGTGATTCATGACCTATAACTTCATGTTAAGGTTGTTAAAATCATGCCCCATGCAGTCCGGTTCCTAGATGAACAGGGCACCACTGAAGTTGCAGTGTATCTATAGAAGATGTATTGTAACTTGTTTAATTATTCAATAGTTAGATATGCAATCGTCAAATACAAATCAGAATGCAGATAGTATAGATTTATACTTACACATATTTTGACCGATAAGGATGTTTTTGGCCAAGCTGTGTTGGATAAAACCTTTTTATTCTGTTGCACGATTCACAATCATCTCTCAAGATATCTCACAAGTCTCTGATGTGTGTTTAGCCTAACAGATCATTTAGAGCATTACACAAGTCAGATGTGTTTTCTCATGATCTCTGCAGCACTTCATGTAAATGTTCCTCAATGCAATATCTCCATATATTCACTGTATTCATGTGTGAACTAATTCAGAAAGCACAACATGTTATTTAAAGGATTAAGGACATTAAAATGAACTCCATTCGCAACTCCACTGTCATGAAGCTTTTATTGTGACAGGTTTCAGTTTTGCATGCAAGTGCTGGTCTGGTGATGCTTCTCTGAATGGAGGCGTCCCTGTAAGTAGCTCCGATCTGGGGTTCATGTCTTTGTCTGAATGTCTGGAAGCCACCTGGGGTTGGAGGGCGGCACTGACTCCGGTTCCTGGGTGATAAAGGTCATCCTGGTTGGTTCCTCCTCTGCCCTAAACGGTGCCATGTGGGAACTGTGGTTATTCCTGATTCCACTCTCAAACCAGATCGTCCCATGGAATTTGTGTGTCACCCAAAATCGCTGACATTGCTTTCATAGGCAATGTAGGTAAGGTGTTGCCTGAATCTGAATGGGTCTCCCTTGTGCTTTTAAGGGGTCCATGGTTTGTGCAGTTATGGTTTGTAATGCAACATTGCTCTGTTGGTGACTGAATACTTGGGGACCGACAGTTGCCCAGCAAATAATATGGTTGTTTTTTGCTTTGTTGTCACAATAATAGATTGTCAGGGAATCCTAACCTCTTAAAGGTATGTGACCAGGCAACAGCTGGGAGTCACGTTTGCAGTTCTAAGTAACAGCTGCATGTGAGGAGGGACTGAGAAACCAGTGATGCTCAGATGAGCCAGATGTTTGATCCCTGTGTAAGACTCTGCGGCCTCCTATTTTTTTACTGTAGTACCCAGACGCTCTTTCGTCGTCCTTTTTAAGTCATTGGACAGAAGGAGTACTGGTTCAAACCCAAGTAATATTTTATGGCGTCCTCTCCACTCACGAGATTAAAGAGGAGGAGTTTCAAAGAAGGACTCGCTATGGACCCACAGCTCTGTGGCGAGGTGGGCTTAAGCTGGGCTGATTTCGTTGTGGAGGTGTGTCTGCTTACTGCAAATGATGGGGCCATGTTCAGGAAGCCTGTTGGCAGTGTGTCATATCTTAAGGGTGACCGTGTGTGGGCGGGGCCACCTGTGGTTACCTCGCTTTGATGCCATTCATTTTGGCAAACAGCAGCCGGAGCACCTTCTCTTTCTGCTCCCACGTCAGCTCGGAAATGTCCACCCTGGCGCCCCTCGAATAACACCTGAAGAGCATTTTAATGTACGTAAAAAAAAAAAATAATAAAAAAAAAGCTTCAGATGCCTGAATTACCCAGTCAGAACTTAGTACTGTACAGTGGTATTTTCCAATCCAATCCTTGGGCCCCCCCCCCCAAAGAGTCCACATTTATGTTCTCTCCCAGCTCCCAACACAACCATGCCAGTTATCCTGTGTTTTTGATTGGCTGGAAGCTGGGAGGGAGCAAAAATGTGGACTGGCTTGGAAAATGGTGCCTTACAGAACAGCCTTTTTTGAGAATTCTTTATACTGCTGTTCTGAAAATTTGAATCTGGGAATAATCTGTTCTATCACTAGTATTATTGGGGTCCGGGAGGAGCCAAACTAGCAGAGACTGGACTGTTTCTGAGGGTGAGGCCTAGGAAGGCATTGGTAAAGGAGAATTTGGGCTGTACCACTTCTCTGCTTCCTCCAGGTCTGTGTGGACGCTGTTGGTGCTTTGTTCGTTCTTGGTGAAGGTGCAGATGCGGGGGTACTCCCGGCGGCCGACCCGCGCCTCACTCATGCCCCGCTGGTAGGCCGCCTGCGCTGCTCGCCGGTACTGCTCTCTGCTCGCTCGGATCTCTTGCCTCACCTGCTGCAGCGCTTCCTGGAAGAAGCACTCCAGCTCGGTGCGTTGCTCCAGCACCCCACGGGACAGCAGCTTCACGCGGTTCATCTCCCGCTCCCTCGCCTCCAGCGTCCGTCGCAGCCGGTCCGTTCCCACCCGGCCCGCCTCAGCTTCTGCCGACACCTCCTGCTCCCTGTCCCGCCTCTCCTTCTCCAACTCTGTGGCCATGAGCTCCAGGGCCTGCTCCAGTGTTGCCGCCTTGCTCCTAAGTGCCGCAATCTCCTCCTTCTGCTGCATCAGGTGTGACACGTTCTCCGTGGCCATCAGCTCACTGGTTTCCTGATGAGGGAAGCAGGAAGGAACCACAGACAACTCCAGAGACGCTCAGGTCAACTGGGGATTTAACGCATGATTGCAAAATCGGATACTGCAAATACCGTACTTGAAATTCTTATGGAAAATCTAAATAAACTGATGGTGGACTCTTACCAATTGAACTCCTTTTGTGTTCATGACTCAAGGACACTACATTTCCAAGGATATCCCCAGTCTACACCCTTAAGTTACAGCGGTTGAGCAGAGTCAACCAAGTGTGACCCTCGGCGCCGTCGGTGAACAACATGTCAGTGGTATCTGGTGCTGATGGCATTGCCAGGGATCACAGGTGCCTGAGGTGCTGGGAAGACGTGCTAACAGAACCAGTGTTATAAGAACGTGTTTGTGTTTGCCTAAGGCAACAGTTTCCAAAAAGCCAGAGCGGGAGGCTGCCGGCCTGGAGCCCAAGCCCACGGAAACTTCAAGCAGCAGGAGAGACTGGCTGGCACCGTCTGCACACGGGCAGAGCGCCGCCGCGATGAAAACAAACACGGGCTGGCAAGAGAACGGCTTTGGGGGCTCAGGCTGTCAGGAATATCCCCCCCGGCGGTCTGGCGGCACGAGCGCAAGGCAAGTGCCTTTGAGGTAAGGCCCGGGGCTGCGAGTCACCCGAGGATCCCCGAGGTCCCCGGGGTGCCCAGAGCGCTGCCTGCCCACAACAGCCAGCCTACCTTGTGCAAGGCCAGGGATTCTCGCCCTTGTGCCAGCGCTGCTGTGGTCTTCCTCAGCTCATCCGTCTCCTTCACGTGGTGAGCGAGCGCCTGGTTCAGACGGATGTTCTCTCTGAACACCGACCGGCACGTGTCATCCAGCTGCCTGCAGAGAAACGGCAGGCTGCCACTGCTCTGCGGCTTGGGGCAGGACCATCCTCTGAGCCACTGTGGGGTGACAGATCTCTGCCTTCTGTCCCACCCAAATCCCCTCTAGTCCCCCGTAAGGTTCTAATCCTCACATTAAATGACTGATTAGCTTGGTGTGTTTTTGTAAAATGCTGAATTACATCCCAAACACACACTTGCTAAGTGCCAGATGGTTCCTTCACCTATTGAGCCAGGCTGCCTAAAGGCTCCCTGTTCCATTACTGCACCCTGAAAGGTCCTCGTTTATATCCACTTTTAACGCATTCTAATTGGCTGCAGGACACATGTTTGCAAAGAGACGCCGTTTCACTCGGGCCAGGAACCTGGAGGCCCTTATTGCAGGGCAGCCTCTGGTGGACAGCATAACCGTTGGCTTAGGTGATGTACCCTATCTGCAGGATGGAAAACTAGTGCGGTCAAGATAATAACCTTGTTTTCTAAAAATTATTTGTGTTTCCCCCTCTTGTTCCTCTCTAAAGGTTGATCCTGCAGCCCAAAGGGTAAAATTAGCCGGCAGTTTGACGGTGGGACGCTCACACAATGGCCTCGTTGTGGGCCCTCTCCGCCAGCTTGGCGATCCTCTGTTCGGCCTCCTTCTCCAGGCGCAGCTGAACGGAACACAGGGTTTAGTGTCACTCTGTCTCTTTCCCGCCACGCCCCCCTCCCCCGATGGCACCGTGAGGCCCAGCTCTATCATGTGATGGTGCTTCACAGAAAACATTCTAGATGCACGACTCCGGCTGCAGCGTCCCTCGGGCTGTCTGCAGCGGCGCTGACAGCTGTGTGCAATTGACAGCATTACTGTACTCAAGTGAAGAAATAGTTTTTAAATGTACCCTATTTGCCTGTTTTTTTTTTTTTGCCCAAACAATTTGCTTCACCGCAATCTAAAGCTTTAAATCCCCTTATGATGGCCCTGGCTTCTGTGTATTACACATATTGCAATAATGGTTAGCTTGTTTGGCTTTCTTCTGTTCAGTCAGCAACACCATATTTCAGGCTTTTCTACACTATTTGCTCCCAGTATCCATTAATGGTGGTTTAGCCTTGTATGAGTAGCATTTTTTTCAACATATCATTAGTTGCAACTACTACTTCTGCATTCCAGGCTTGAGTGAGCCGTCATGCACTGTAAGTGTGTCTATATGTGGAAAGCTATACCTTCTCATTGAAGAACTTGTGTTCCATTCGAGCCAGGCTTTCTTTGTGATTTCTGTCTTCAGTCTCAATCTTCTCCTTGAGCTGGTTAGACAGTCAAATGGTCAGTGGATTTGGGGAAAACGTGTGCCCATCCGGGACTTCCCGATTTCCGTGCGTTCTTACATCACTGAGCTCTCGCTCCATTTCTGCTTTCTTCTTACGGAACTCCTTAATCATCTGAAGCTCTCCCTGGATCATCTGGAACTCGTCAGACCTCTTCTGAAGCCTCCCCTCTATCTCGTTAATCTGGAGCGTGAATTCTGCAACCTGTGGCAGTATAGTCACTGGTGTAAAAGAAAAGCTTGATACTTCCACTTGATACTTCATCCCACTGTATATCTCAGCACCCTGGATATTTTTAAGTTTTACATTTTCGTCACTGAAATGCCAGTCATGATGAGGGTTTTTTTGTTTTTACACAACCACACATGGACAGAAAAACCTTTTGTATATGTTGAATGGAGATAGATACGAAAAAGGGGAACAATTATGTAACTAGGAATAGAAGAGAAACTGATCTTTTAGGGAAAGAGAATGACCTAATGTTCCAGGAACACAAGAGTGCCACTTATAGCTGGTAACAAAAACTAACAGACTGTAGTAAGACTCAAGATGGCCATTAGTCCTTCACAAACGTTCCCCTTGGGAACAGGACTTGCAACCGCACAAGCTGTTAGATGTTTGCTGGCTTTCATGTAGTTAAGTACTGGAAGTCTTTTTTGGGGGGGGGGGTGTTTTCTGTGAATATCATTTCATGGTTTTCTATTACTGCAATGATATTGTGGTTGAGCAAAAAATGGGTTTTTCAATGTCACGCATGTGTCTTTCAAAGTCATTCTCGCACACTTTGAGCTCCTGATCTGTCTTGTTTCATTAGGAATTCCTTAGATCTGTCCTGTGTATGCCATGTTACGGCTGCATCTGACGTGTTAAAATCATTATTCCATATGATATTCTCTAGGTGGGATAAGTGGAGACCGGCTGAAGTATAAAATAATGCTTTGCATGCCGTATTTTTCTTCACTGTTCACAGTGGGCTTCCTGCTGACCATCATTCTCTCTCTGAAGAACATGGAACTTTTTTTTGGAGATGAGTTTTCTCACCTCTTGCTGAAGACTGGGGTCTACAAGGCTGGGTGTGCAAAGGCATCCTTAGGTCTAACCACAACAATATTTTCTCAAATGGAGCCTTCATGTGACACTGCCATACTCTGCTAAATTGGGGACCTTTCAAGCTGGTCCAGACCAAACCTCCCTTTATTTCCAAAGCTCACTTGGGTCCCGTTTTTACCAGCATGAAGTAAGAGATGGAAAACAGCTGCTGCCCAGTGCTGCACGTTTCCAAATTTAAAGTTGTACTCAAAAGCATGTTTTGATAGGCAATTAGACCACTGCAATAGCAATCAACTTGCTCAGACTTGCACCCTCAAAACTGTGGTGGATTACAAGAAAATCTGTGCGACGTTTTTGTTCCACAGCCTTTAAGGCCCAGGGAGATGACATGGTAGCAATTTAGCACGAAGAATCCGTGCTGCACGTGAGGGACAGGGGAGTTAAACTGAAATTTGTATGCATGTTCCAGGCCTTTGCAGGTTTTAATTATGTGTTTTTTTTTTTTTCAACCACAGAACTGGATTAGCGTAATTTTAGACTGCATGGTAGAAAATGCAGGGTTTTTGTTTTCTGATGATCTTTCTTCCCTCCCGTGTTTGTTTTTGTTTATAAATGAATGCAGCAGGTCTATAATTAAAAAGACTGTGGGTCAAGGTCAGCGGTGTCTCCTTTGTGAGGAGCTGTAGGTAATTATGGACTAAATAACCATCTGAAGAGTGAGATTGTGAATATGATTTATTGGGGGAAATGATACTGGTCGGGGGAGGCACTACAGTGGGCATCTATGGAGCGCGACCTCTTCCCTGCTCATGTATGCCTTGTGTTTGGTTAACAGTCCTGTTGCCCTGTCCTCTGAACGTGGTCATTAGAAATGAGAGGAGACCATAGGGCAAAATTTGGCAGAATGCTCTGCTTTTACCAGTTGCTCACACTCCTTCCTTGCTGCCTTCTTTTGTTCCCTTAGCTGCTCCTCCAACTGGCTGATCTGTGAGTGACATATAAAAAAATTTAACAGCACTGAAGCATGGATTGGCATTCTTCCAAAATCGATGAACTCGACAGGTGGTGGCGCCCACTGTTTAAAGGTACGCAACAGAAAATTAATCGCAGCATTCAGAAAGTAACAGAATATCAACTTAAGGCTGTTGTACTTCTCTGGAGCGGCTTTGGACGGCTACACAGAATGCTTCTATGTCATGCGGCATTTGTCATTAGCATAAGGTGAACCTGCGTTTAACTAGCCGAAATCATTGGACACATAATTATGAATAGAAATGAAAGAGCTTTGTGTTACTTCTGGCAGTCAGTTGCCTGTATTGTGCTCCTATGCTCTAGGCAGCTACTGCCGGGGGGGGGGGGCTCCTGGCTTTGCCTTAATTTAGCATTCCAGTACATCGGCGATGTTCTACAGGGCTGGCCACTGCAGCGTTCCAAGGTCTGTCCTCTGACAATCAAAGCATTGGCTTATTTTGTGGTCACACCCATTTTTCCAGTAGACGGGTGTCCTGTAACTTTTGGTACATTGCAATTTAATACTAAAACTGCAACCCTTTTTTTTCTCCTGACTGCATTTGACTTATGTGCAAATTCCACTTTAGTTTTGAAGTTTTAGCCATGATTGAGATGAGAAGACTTTACCAACAAGTATTCATTAACTGTGGTATTTTATCACATTCCCCCCCAACCGAGAGACTTCTCACCTTCCCCTCCCGTTCAGCTTCCCTCCGTTTTAGGAAGGTGATGATGTCTATGTTGTCCTTCTCTGCACGCTCCTTTTCTTGGCCGAGCTCCTCATTGGCCAGCGCCAGCTTATGAGCCGTCTCGCGGTACTCCGCTCGTGAGAGCTCCGTCACATTCAGCCTACTTTCCCAGAAAGCTGCTATTGCTTTTGCCTTCTCGATGTCCGTCTCCTTGTCACCTTTGGGCTCCTGTTTTGTCTCCTTCTTCCCTTTACTAAAGACAAAATTTGGTGAAAGGTAAAGGGAATGAGGGCGAGCGGCTGTCTCCCAGTGTGGTGCCAGGCCACCAGGCACAGCCGAGAGTCACGTGGAAAGGGCCCCTCAGGAACATCACACCATTCTTTACAGAAAGGTCGTCTGCTGAGCTTTGTCTCATCCTGTGAAAGCTACTGGGAGTGAGTTCCGTGGAAGTAGAATGTAATTACTGTCATTTAGCCATGGGGGGTTAAATTGGCATAATTCCCCCCTCCCCCAAAACAGGGATTCTGCTCCCCCAGCGGCACTATTTTTGGTGCATAGTCATGACTGTTTCGTAAGAAAGCATTTGGCTTGGTATATGTAATGTAGGCTGAAGAGATGAGTTCCAAATTATTGGGGTACGCAGGGGAGCGATGAATGGTGAAAGATTGAAACCACTAGACTTTATGGGTCTGTTAATGAGTGTCAATTTTCTTCCTACATTAACCTGTAGCTGCTAATGTAAGTGCCACTTCAAGCTAAAATGCTGTGTGGGATTCAGGATGGCACCTGCTTAGGACAACAAAAAACTACTAAGTTGTGCTCCTCAACCCACCAAGAAAGAATATGTTGCATGGATAGAGTGAATGGATGACCTTCATGCCTCATTGGGCAGGATTGCACAATCAGTTCTTGATGCTGATGTATTGGAAGTAGGAAAAATGGGCAAGAATAAGAATCTGGGGTGAGTTTCCTGAAGCCTTAACGTTACGGTGTCTGTAAATCCTATGTTGAACGTTAAGAAGGCTTCGGGAAACTTACCGCTGAGCAACTTTGACGAGGGCCAAATTGTAACGGCTAGACAACTGGGTCAGAGCATCTCCAAAACGGCAGGTCTTGTGGGGTGTTTGTGGTATGCAGTGGTCAGTACCTACCAAGGAAGGCCAAGTGACCTGGCAACAGGGTCATCGGTGCCTAAGGTTCACTGAAGCGTGTGGGGAGTGAAGGCCAGCCTTTCTGTCCCACCCTACAGGAGAGCTACTGTAGCACAAACTGCTGAAAAATCTAATGCTGCCTATGATATAAGGGTGTCAGAACACACAGTGCAGCTGGCTGCGTATGGAGCTGTGTGGCCACAGACTGGTCGGAGTACCCATGCTGACCCCTGCCCACTGCAAAAAGTGCTTACAGCGGACACGTGAGCATCAGAACTGGAGCATGGAGTTATGGAAGAATGTGGCCTGGTCTGAGGAGACATGTTATAAGTTACATCATGTGGATGGCTGGGTACATGTGTGTCATTTCCCGGGAGAGTGATGGCTCCAGGAGGCACTATGGGAAGAAGGCAAGCCGATGGAGGTAGTGTGATGCTCTGGGTGATGTTCTGCTGGGAAAGCTTGGGTCTTGGCATTCATGTGGATGTTACTTTGACACATACCACCTACCTAAACATTGCTACAGACCAAGTACACCCCTTCATGGCAATGGTATCTTTCAGCAGGATAATGCGCCCTGCCACACTGAAAATTCTTCAAGGAATGGTTTGAGGATCATGGAAAATAGTTCAACGTGTCGACTCAGCCTCCAAATTCCCCAGCTCTCAATCCGATCGAGCATCTGTTGGATGTGCTGGAAAAACAAGTCTGATCCATGGAGGCCCCACCTCAAAACTTACAGGACATAAAGGATCAGCTGCTAACGTCTTGGTGCCAGATGTCACAGAACAACTTCAGAGGTCTTGTGAAGTCCATGCCTTGATGGGTCAGAGCTGTTTTGGTGGCATGAGGGGTACCTACAATATCAACCAGGTGATTTTAATGTTATGGCTGATCAGTGAAGATTGGTGTTGCGTGCTTTTATGTTGACACATATGTAGTTCTATACATCTCAGTGCAGTGTCCAAGCCTGTTACCCTCCCACACATGCTACCGTTCAAACTGAAACGATCTAGTCTGCACACTATTTTAACTGGACATTCAGGCCGACTATTTCCACGTCTCCTATCTTGCCATATGGTCTAAGGATATGCTAACTTGGATCGTTATGAGATCCACAATATTCTTTTACTGAAGTGAGTGACTGTTTCACCAGTTATGTGTGATCAACTCTTTAAGATGTGGAACAGGTATAGTAATCAAGGACTGAAGGTATATTCACTAGGACTGTCAGGGCTATTCATAAATGAACTCATCAATTTCAAATTGAATCAGGAAATCGTGCTGGAGTTTGAATTGAGGGAGGAAAACCCTACATAAAGTCAACTGGGATTGAATTTGAATTTCGTGATTTATATCTCCATCAAGTGTTGGTCACAGACCCTGGTCAGACGGAGGAGGAGCCAGGCCCGGATTCACCCCACAGAGCCCGGAACCTCCAAGCAGCACAAGTCCCCCACGAGGGTAAAGTGGCCTGCTGCTAACAAGAAGGAGTAGCTTCAGCTGGATGAGGACATAGATAAGATTCTGGAGACATCATCAAAGGGTGATGCTGACCATAAACTCCACACTATGTGCACCCTTATAATGACTATAGGTGTGGAATGGTTTGGCGTCATAGAAAGGCCTGTGTCTAGTAAACCAGCAAGACCAAACGGGCAGGAGCATAAGATCAGCCAGTTGAGGCAAGAACTGAAAACCCTGAAGCGCCAGTTCAGGGCAGCAAAGGAAGAGGAGAGGATTGCCTTGTACGAGCTCAGGGAGATCACAAGGAGGAAGCTCATTACACTCAGGTGAGCTGAGTGGCACAGAAGGAAAGGAAAGGAGAGGGCCAAGAAGCGCAAGTCGCATTTAGTATCACCAAGAGACTACTGGGACTGAAGAAAAGTGGGAACCTGACGTGTCCTGTAGAGAAGATTAACCACCATCTCAGCATCATCTTCAGTAACCCACTAAGGGAACAAGTTCTCAGCCCGTGTGAGGCACTTGGAAAGCCTCCAAAGCCCGTGGTCCAGTTTAGCACCTCAGAGCTCACCCTGAAAGAGGTCAAAGAAGCAGTGATGGCAGCAAGATCAGGCTCCACCCCTGGCCCCAGCGGAGTCCCATACAGGGTCTACAAGCAGTGTCCAAGACTTCTTGTGCGACTCTGGAACATTATAAAGGTGATCTGGCGGAGAGGAAGAGTCGCTGCTCAGTGGAAGTCTGCAGAGGGAGTCTGGATTCCAAAAGCAGGGGATGCAAGTAAGATCGAGCAGTTTTGCATTATCTCGCTGCTCAGTGTTGAAGGGAAGATCTTCTTCAAGATTGTGTCCCAACGACTAACTGATTTCCTCTTGAGGAATGGTTACATAGACACTTCAGTACAGAAGGGGAGAGTCCCAGGAGTACCTGGATGCCTAGAACACCCTGGGGTGGTGACTCAATTGATCCACGAGGCAAGGGAGAGCAGAGGAGATTTGGTAGCACTCTGGCTGGACCTAACCAACGCCTATGGATCCATTCCGCATAAGCTTGTTGAAACAGCACTGGCAAGACATCATGTGCCATAGACCATCCGAAACCTCATTCTGGACTATTACAACAACTTCCGATTGAGGGTAACATCAGGAACATCAATATCTGCCTGGCAATGCCTGGAGAAGGGTATAATAACTGGCTCGGTGCCACTCTTCTCCCTAGCAATGAACATGATTATGAAGTCAGCTGAGGTTGAGTGTAGAGGCCCCATGTCAAGATCTGGCACTCGGCAGCCCCCAATTTGAGCATTTATTGACGATCTTACAGTGACGGCAACCTCCGTTCCTGGGTGCAGATGGCTCCTCCAGGGGCTCGAACGACTCATCTCCTGGGCGAGGATTAGCTTTAAGCCTAGCAAGTCCAGATCTCTGGTCCTCAAGAAAGGCATAGTGGTTGATCGGTTCTGCTTTGCCATAGGAGGAACACCAATTCCATCGGTGACTAAAAAACCTGTCGAGCTTGGGCAAGGTTTTCAACAGCTCCTTGAGGGATTCAGACACACTCCAGCAAACCAAGAGGGACTTGACATCTTGGCTTATAGCAATAGACAAGTCGGGGCTCCCAGGAAAATTCAAAGCTTGGATGTACCAACATGGAGTCCTTCCAAGGCTCCTTTGACCTCTGCTTGCCTACGAGGTTCCTATGTCAACTGTGGAGACACTGGAAAGAACCATCAGCCAGTTCCTACGGAGGTGGCTTGGGCTCCCTCGGTCCCTTAGCAGCATTGCCTTCTATGGGCATTCCACTATGTTGCAGCTTCCTATCAGCGGCTTGTCAGAGGAGTTCAAGGTTACGCGTGCCAGAGAGGTGATGATATACCGCGACTCCTCTGATGCCAAAGTTGTTGCGACGGGAATTCTGGTGAAAACTGGAAGGAAGTGGAAGGCACAGGAAGCTGTCGATAGAGCAGAGGCACGGCTCCAGCACAGCATCCTGGTCGGCAACGTGGCAGTGGATCGGGCAGGAATTGGCAGCTTTCCCAAACCCCTCTAGGATAAAGTTGGAGGAAGGGAGAAATGTCAAATGGTGCAGGATGAGATACGAGCAGAGGTGGAGGAAGACCGCCGGACAAAGATGGTCGGCATGTACCAGCAAGGCACCTGGACAAGGTGGGAGCACGCTGAACAGTGTAAAATTACCTGGCCAGAGCTCTGGAGATCCGAACCTCAGTATTTCAAGTTTCTCATCCAATCCGTGTACGATGTTCTTCCAAGTCCAACCAATCTGCATCACTGGGGCTTAGCAGACACTCCGGCATGCCAGCTGTGCCAGAAGAGAGGCACCTTGGAACACATCCTCAGTTGCTGTCCAAAGGCTTTGGGGGAGGGGTGGTATCGCTGGCATCTCAGGGCCCTGGCAGACACAGTTAGCGTGGCGATTACCAGCAGCAAGTACCAGCACACCCCCAAACAGGCCATCACCTTCGTCAGAGCGGGAGGGAAGGCACAACAGCAGCTAAGTTCTTCCAGAGGGCTTCTCAGTACTGCATGGGATTGGAAGCTCCAAGTCAACCTGGGAAGACAGCTTAAGTTCCCAGAGCACATCTCAGCCACTTCACTCCGCCCAGGTGTTAACATCAGAATCAACGAAGCAAGTGCTTCTGGTAGAACTTACTGTCCCGTGGGAAGACCGGATTGAGGAGGCCAATGAGCGCAAGAGGGCTAAACACGCTGAGCTGGTGGTGGAATGTAGGAGCAAAGGCTGGAAAGCCCACGGCGAACCAGCGGAGGTGGGGTGCTGGGGTTTTGCTGGCCAATCATTACGTCGTACTCTCAAACTTCTTGGAGTAAAAGGTCAGCTGTGCAAAAGAGCTATCAAGAACATCAGAGGCTGCAGAGAAAGCCTCAAGATGGCTGTGGATCTGGAGGGGGGATCCATGGAGTAGTAGACCACTTGGACACAAGTTGGGGGCTGATCACCCCTGACTGAGTCGCCTGGGTGAGGGTGTTTGATGATCAAAGACCCGAAACACCCCATGACCGCGGGTTCATCACTGATCATGTGTCCAAGTAGCACCAAGAGGTGTATTCCAGAGCTAGAGGGATATACAGAACTGCGAAACACGTCTTAGGCAGTCAAAGAAAACAACTAAAGTTTATCTGGGTAATAAATGTACATGTGCTCAGAACAAAAACACAATATAACACGAAAACATGCAAAGGAAGAGCATCCTAATAAACAAAGTATTTCTTCTGTTCTCCAGAACGTTACTGGTATCTTACTGGATGAACACCGCTTCAGTTCCCAAAGCTCCCCACAGGCCACTACAGACATTCTCTGTATGTCTTGAAATTTCACAACCAGCACATGTAATTAAATTTGGTTAAAAGGTCAATGAGGTATTGATTAGCCATATGAGGTGGGGTAGTGGTCCAATGGAAAAAAAACACAGGTGTACATTTTAAAATGATTAATTCTAACATTTTTAAAGATTTTTTTTTTGACTGCCTAAGACTTTTGCACAGTATTGTATATTTACGTTATGGAAACAAAATGTTCAAGGTACTTTTCAGGCATAAGAATAGACTATGTAAATTTAATTAAATAAAAATGAGAAGTTGAAGGCAATTAAGATAAATGAATGGACAGTATAGCTGTAGAACAAAGATACTTGTAGAAATCTATGCCATGATGTAGACTGGAATATACTTAAACCAGAGAAGAATTCCTTCAATAGAAACTTGACATTTATAGTGCAAGTTATTACATAAAGTGGAGAAAATTCGCAATGCCTCGCGTGCTTCTGATTTACATAAAGCACCATTTTGTATAAATAATGTAGTAATGGATTGCCACACACGCATGAGAAGTGCCTTGGTGCAACTGTTGCGAAAAGCGCCAAATAAAAACGGAATGATGCCTCAAACTTAAAATCAGTAAGTTTATTGTTTTAAATATCTTTTTATATTTTTCATTCATTTTCACTTTCTATTGCATCAAATCATTATCTTTTCGAAGTTCATATCGCTAATTTTACATTAGGTCAGTTCTTTTTATAGAATACTTAATATCACAAATGTGCCAGAAATGTGCTACTTTTAAGACATCGTTTTAAAAGTGGAATTTCTTGAAATTTGGTAGAATTCAGTTCAGTTTCCTGTTATTTCAATTCCAGCTCCATGGCCCTGAAGTTGGCGCCTTATCCGCAGGTCCTCATTCCAAATCAGCTCGTTATTGAGCTACACTGTAATATATATCGTTTTTTGCTATTGTCCCATACAAAAAACAATTACTGGTAAGCATTCTAGGTATCTTAGACTATTGTCTTGTTAAGGTAAAGTTAGCTCATACGAATATAACCAGTATAGCCAATGCTGGCGATGTCTTACCCTTTCACCACCTTCTTTCCCTTTTTCCCCTTCTTTTTATGCATTTCTCACAATATAAGCAGTAGCCTAATATAATATATCAACTCCAAGGTCCGGGACTGGCTTGTTTCTGTGGTCACCATAGAAACGTACCCACGTGCGCGGACGCAGTCAGACCGAAAGCGTAACCGCGACTCTGTCCGATCAGCTCTGCAGTCGAGGTTCGGGTGTTTTAACCTATTGAATCTCAGGGAGGCGAATGGTAGCGGTCCGTGTTAGGTGTGGGTCGCTGTATTTGAATATTTCACGTGTTTGTGGGGAAATAAAACTTCTTATCTTGAATTATTTGTAGATATCTGAACTTCGGAAGCGTAGGATTAAGACGTCCTGTCGCACGTCAAAATGTCACTTGCTTGTCAGCTGTGCCAAATAAGTTAATATGCATAGATATATAAAATGTCTCTTTTTATATTGTCATGAAAGCAGTTCATTATATTCAAACTTTGGAAAGCAGGAACCATTTATTTGTTTCCAAATTGTGTTCTTGCCTTAAATTTACTTAACTGAGTAGATCTTTCAAACAGTATTGCTTAATTTTAAAACGACAGTACACCAGGCCGCATTGGCGTGCACAGACATTTTGGGGGGCAAGTGCTCCAGGGGGAAAAAAGGGCACTTTTTGCATAT